CAACAATATATAAGTGCAAATGACAAGTCTCGGTTAGCCTAACGCAGTACACGTAGCAAGGTGTATATATATATACATATATATTATGCGCACACACACATATACACACACACACAAACAAAGAAAAACAAGTAGATAGAATAGAAAAAATAGAAAGCTAGTGGGTTTTTTTTTTAAATAAAGAACAAAAAAATTTAAAAGATAAATATAGATAAAGTATAATTATAATAGAATAGAAAGTGTTAGAGTTAGAGGGTCCAATAAAGGTCAAATAATTTATACAAATTATATTGTATAATTTTGAAACCTAAAGCAAAACCAGAATGGTCTGACTTCAGCTTTGTGAAAATGTACTGCATAAAACATAATTTGAAAAAAAAAGGCAGACGAGCTGAAGGAGAGCGCAAATTCACTCTCTGACAGCAGGTGGCGCTTATGGAACAGCAGCGATACAGCGTTTCCTTGCTGTAAACAAAGCAGCGCAGCGCTTATGAACACTGCTTTAATATTCTATATACAGAGACAAGATGAAGAGAAAATATCAACTAAACTTTTCTGAAGACAGTCATCTCCCCTCAGAGATACATTCATATAAACCCCCACCTCAAACTTTATCACGATTCGTATAACATCTCAACTGACTTGAATCGTCACACATTTTTATCAATTTTCAACCGGCTCGGGGTGCAACATCCCTAATTTTAAATCATTATATTTAAATGGTCTTTTGTTGTGCTTTAAAGATTCTTTTTAAAGATTTTTATTTTGATGTGTTGACTAACATACTAAAGCAAATGTAAATGCTTGATCCCTATTTTTAACTATAGTGTGTATTTGATATGAAATTTAAAGTGAATACATTTTAAATTAACTAAATAATTACAAATGTGTAAATACAAATATATTTAAAAATACCTAACATACAAATTTCAATGGAAATAACATTAAAGTGTATTTTAGCTTACCATAAATGCTTTCCAGTACATTTGTCAGTACACTTTAACCACATTTCCAAGACAATAAGTATGAAATTACATATAAAGATGTACTTAAGTCCTACTAAAGTTGGTTGAAAAGCACCCTCAAGTTCAACTAATTGCATTTAATATAAATGTAAACTATAATACATTTTCATTTCAATGCAGTTAACATGGAATTAAGCACCTGAAAGCATTACATTCAGTTCACACTTAAGTATATATTTAAAGTATTTTTTCAACAAAAAGCACTCATTTTAAAAGTATGATAAAGTGTAATGAGAGTGGGGGTTTTTTTGTACTATGTAAGAATAAACTGAGAACTTTGACAGCAGTGGTCACCATTTATATTTTCATTAATAAATGACAACATAATAAAAAAGGTCAGTTATTCCTTTAATGAGCTGAGAAGCATCATGTATCACTTTATAGATAAACATCTTTAATTATTCTGCTTAGGTCCTTCAAAAAGACAGAATGTAGTGTAGAGAAGACGAAAAGCCGTCATTTCCTGTTGGAGTCGGAATTGCTTTCCAGCGAGTCTGAATCTGGTCCAGAGAATGAGGATCAAGAGGAGCCGCCCACTGCTGATCGCTCCTTTTCTGTGCCCTTGCCAACCCCGTCTGTCCGTCCTCACACTCATAAGCTCCCACCTCCACCTCTGGGAGGATCCAGCTCGGGTGGAGCGCTTGCAGGCAGCAGTGTGTTTGCTAACCCCTTCAAAGAACTGGCCAAGGAGAGACTGAATGTCCTACAGAAACATGTACCTCTTACTTTACAAGCTCGCCCCACCCAGATCGACGGTAAGCGCATTTGTGTGGCCTACAGGAAGGATGGCCGCTGCCGCTGCCGCTTTGGAAGCTGCTGCAAGTTCGCACATGACAGCGATCTGCAGAGTAACCGTGTGGTCACCTCTGACAGTGGACCAAAAGACAATGTTGCAGTTTCACACAATCATGTTCCACTGGCTTCTTGTGAGGAAGACACAGAGACAGACGGAGATGACAATGAACAGCAAAAGAAGAGAAGAGTAGGCGTGAATGATTCTCTCATTCCACCAAAACGTGCACTCAAGCAGTATGCCAGACTCTCACACCCCTAAGACGTTATAACATTCAGAAATTCAAAACTTAAGTGTCTTTATGACATAATTTGGGCAAAACACCCAGGATGCTATGTGTTACATTTATTGAATTAATACGCTACTGATGAGATTATGATAATCGGTCTGTAAAATGTGTTTCAGACTTTCTCCAGAGGTAAATATTTTATAGACAAAGGCGATGTGGTCAATACTAGCAGAAAGAGACTTGTGAAAATTCTTCAAACAAATGTAAGGAAAAGATGTCATTATTTATTTTATTTGGGTTTTATCTGGCTTCCTAAACCCACCCTTTTTTAATCTTACATTAGTCTAAGGTTTTGAAATAATAAATGTATGTATAAAAAAATGGTGTACTTGATGACTCTAAAAATGTATATGGTCAATATATTTTCAATCTTTAGTGTCCCCTTTTCACTAGTAGGGTTCATTTCACCTAAGGATGCACAATATATTGGTGTTGTATCTGTTACTGGTGATATTATAGTTTTTCTTTTTCATAAAATTGTTAGCCTATAAGTTTAAATGGGATATACACTAATGTTCAAAAGTTCGGAGGCAGATTTGTTTGAAAGAAATTGGTACATTTATTCAGCAAACAGTGACAGAAAAGACATTTATAAATAATGTAACATTTTTTTTTATTTCAAGTTAAGGCTGTTATTTTAAACTTTATATTCATCAAAGAATCGTGAAAAAAATGTATCATGGTTTACACAGCACATGTGTTTTCAAAATTAAATAATAATAAATGTTTCGTGAGAAACAAATCACCATATTAGAATTATTTCTAGAGGATTATTTTACACAGAAGAGTAATGGCTGCTGAAAATTTTAAAATGCATTAAAATAGAAAGTAATTATTTGTAATTGTACCAATATTTCACAATATTAGTGTTTACTGCAATTTAGACAAAAAAAAACTATCAAAACCAATAGTACACCAAACGTTTGAACAGTAGTACATCTCTGCAATTATTATATATTTAAGTTTCTGCTTTTTTTGCATTTATATTATCTTTGCCATCATTAAATGCTCAGTTAAAGTTCATTTTTAAAAACACTAATAATTTAATAACAATAATTAATAACAACTATTATTTAACAAATTTCAAAATTTATATTTTTTTCGTAGGATGCCTAAATTCACTTATATCATTTAAAACTATTTATTTGATTTTAGTGTTTTATTTTAAACTTATTTAGACAAAATAGGATGGAATTTTAATATTGGCCATAACATGAAAATAATTATCGGCTTATCTGTAATATGGGTGCATCCCTAATTTCTACAGTACCAATTCAAGCCATATGATGGCACAAGTTTGCTTACACACAATGGCTTTACTCACATAGACTAAAGTGAATTAAGTTCTGTGGAAGCCTCTACAGCCACAAAACAACACACTCACACACACACAAAACAGATGTGGTTGTCGGAGAGGACTATAACTGTTTATATACAAAATGAACAATGACAATAACTCAAACACACTCTCCCTGGTACAGACATTTCTACAAAGCTACCAAAAGTTAATGCGATTACATACAATATATTTATGACTCTATATATTTAACTTCAGGGCATTGTAGGAGCGCGACAAATAACAGTCATCTCACTATCTTCCATGTTACACCTTCAACATCCTTCCTTCACTACATTAGAACACGCTGTATTTGGCCGTCTGAAATGTCCGTCATGTTTTGCTCCTCCATGTTTGCTCCACATTTGACCAATTCCAAACCACATCAATCATAATAACTACTATGAATTTTGTATGTAATCATTTATAAGTGATATATAATTGTTAATGAGGGCTGGAAGTGAAAACGGTATAATCAGGTGTGCATAAAACTTAAAAAAATCTGATTAAAAATCAGTCTTCATCTATTTCATGACACTTCAGCTTGTAATACTTCATATTAAGTGGGGGGGGTCATGTTTTAGGACTCCTTGCCTTAAAGTCGCTGATATCCTGACACCTTGTACTTCTGGAGACTCAAGGTAGTTTGCAGTTCTGGAAAATGGTGGCTCTGGAGACTAATAAGGCCCCGTCCACACGGAGACGCGTTTAGCTGTATACGCAAAATTTTGTATCGTATAGGCGATAAATGTATTGTTCCATGTTCGTTTGTATACCGCGCGCAAGGTTTATGCGCATAGTCCAAGTCTTCAACGTTTTAGTGTATCTCTGTGGCAGAATTACAGCGCCACATACTGGTATGGCATGTATACTACATCGTTTTGTGTCGGTTTCGTTGTGGACGCAGATATTTCTTGAGACGAGGAGAAAAAAAAGATCGGATAGGAAAAACTCTATTTTTATTTCTTGTCCAATGGTCACACCCTAATTTAACAATTTCTATAGTACTGCATCCTTATTATGTGCATTTAATAACTTTTTACTTTTCAGTATGTTAAATCTATTTTACCTGTAAAAGAAAACCTGCTTAATAATTATGCCCATCTGAATATAAGGCAGTTTTCACTTGAGTCCTTGTTAACAATTATATATAATTTATAAATGTTTATGTACAAAATCAATAGTAATTATTAAGATCGATACATTTAGAATTATAATATTTAGGAAAAATAAAGAATTTATATTTTAAAATGACAACACTATAATTTATGTATTTTTTAACTTATTTTTAAAAGATAAACCATCAAGCTATTAAATTGTACATCTTAACCCAAATCAATGTTTAACATCCTTTTTATTTAAAGAAATCATGTAATAAGCAGAATAATGAACAGTCAGCTGGTTATTATTACAAAATTAAACCCTTCAGGAGATACAAAATCAGATTTTCTGTCTGTTTTTTGTTTTTGTTTTTAACGAAAATGATCATGTGGCTGTACTTCGTCCTCTCAATTGGAAAAGTAATAGAGTGCAGTAGTTTGTAAGCAGCATAGATTCGACTTACTGCAGTGGTTTCTCTCCGGTGTGTATCATTCGATGCACAGCCAGGTTGTGAGAGCTCTTGAAGGCACGAGCACAGAACTCACAGATATAGTCTCTCTGATCTGCAACGCACACTGTACTTTAAAAAAGCCACCCAACCAACGACACGTCATGATAACTATTTCAATCTTTAAACTGGATCTGTTTATCTTACCGGTGTGGTGCTTGGCATGCCGCAGTAGTTGTTTCTGCAGCCGGAAGAGTCGTCCGCATGAGGGATGAGGGCAGACGTACTTCTTCTTCATCAGGTGTTGGTATTTGATGTGATGCTGCAGGAGAAAAACACAACAGAAAGGTTTCAAGTCTAATTTTGGTGTCAAGTGTCAGTTAGTGATGGAAACACTAGTTTGCGTTTGTACCTGTAAGTAGCGCGGATGGGCCAGCACTGTACCACATCCTTCCATTTCACAACGCACATACTGCACAGGCGGCTTTTTCCTGAGTACAAAATCAAATGATCTCCAGTTAATGTAGGGAATTAGTTCGTATTTTTGCATTTTTAAAGGAATCTTCAAGTTGCAAAGGAAATTGTGGCATGCTTTCAATTATTACAGAAATTGACAAAGCTCAACTCATATTTTAGGACTATTTTCAGCGTGAGATGCTTTGTTACCTTCTCTTAGGAAGACGAGGACTTTTATCATCTTTCTTTCTTCGCCCTCTTCTAAGTAAAAAAAAACAAGAAAGTCTGGTGGTTAATATTTGTTTATCAGTCACTAAGTGAGTGTTTAAGTGAGAACATGTGAGTGAGACTGTAAACCTAATGAGTAACATTTTGTTGTGTTTCCATCACAAACATATAAAACAACATCACGGACTCACTTCCTGGGTGGCTCGGCACCTTCCTCAACTTCAGCAGCAGTCTGCACATCTGTGCTCTCCCCTCCCTCAGTTTTGATCTCTGTCTCTTGCTCTGTTGCAGTCTCTGGCACTGCAGCCTTGTCTTTCTTCTCCTTCAGTCTGGTTGGGGGTCTGCGCCTCGACTTCGGAAAATCCCTGCACAGAAATACAACCGAAATGTAGATGGTGTAGGAGTCGAGAACTTCAGAACACACAAAAACACACTTCTCATACTTAGGATCATAGCTCTGGTCATTCAGGTCATCTCTAAAAGGGACATCTTCATCACTGCTGATGATGTCCTCTTCCTCACTGTTGAACAAAAGAAACATTAACAACAAGCCATAATCAGCACACTGCATAATCTAATGGATGAGTGAAATCATATCTGGCACACCCTGTAAAACAGTGTTTCTCAATCTTTCCACACCTTTTTCAAATCCCTTTATTTAATTTTTTTCTAAAGAAAATATACATGTAGAACACCACCAACGCAATAATTGTGCAGGGTTCGATTAATCATCAAGACACACAGTATCATTGTACATGCTACATGTACAAGCTTGACACTTACAGCATATACTGTATATTTCAGAAGTTTCATTCAATAATTACAGAAGTTTTCTTCAAAGCTTAACAAAAAGCATACATGAGCAACTGACAATTTTCTCACAAACGTAAATGTGTTTTCGATGACTAAAAACTGAAAACTATATTTCGATAGAAATTGTCTAAATTGTGACCTTTTTTTGATATTTCAATTACTTTTCTTGGCCTGGAAATCAGAGTTTCAGAACTCCCTGATATTTACAGGTTTTCCGTGACACTGGAAATCCTGACAAGTTAGAATAATTCCTAACTTTCATTTTATCATTGACTGATTACTGTAATCATCTTATAACACAACATCAGATGTCTGCCATTTATAAAATAAAACGATAACTGTTTCCAGGAGGTTATAACCATGTTCAAGAGCCTTTAAAGCCATATTAGTGTAAATTCCAAATGACTACAATCAGTATATATACACAAGATACAACATTACCTATGTGAATGGGGCAGGTAGTTTTCATCTTTTGGATCATCCAGAAATTGACCCTCTTCCTCTTCTACAACGACCTCATCATCCATGCTCTCCTCTTCCTTTTTCTCCACACTAAAATATGGCAGTAACAAACATAGGGCTTGTTAGACCAACTCCAAAACACTAGCTGCCATCAGTGTCTTCGAAGACCCCACGAAATGGCTTGACGAACACTGTTTTCTTTCCGGTGTTGAAACTGTTCTTATTTCTTTTTTTAACAAACAGCCAATAGCCTTAAGTTTACGTCACAGCGTAAATGATGATGCACTACTGGCTTTTGCTAGATGGAGGACAGAAATTTAAATACATTTGGTAATGCAAGATAGTTTTGGTCCATTTTTTTCATGGTATAGAAACGCCATGCATTTTAAATGCATACAAAGCCACAAAAATCCAGCTTTGATTTCATGGGGTCTTTCATGAGAAAGTGTCCATGTGTTCTCATGGTACATGTGCAATCACCTTGTTCCTGTCTTTTCGACCGCTTTATTGGCCTCCACTGCAAGCAAAATGTGCAACCATTATACTTATTTATATGTACGTTTTGTAGCGTGTATTTGATCAAGCTTTTGTAGTGGACCTGTTCAGTCTACTACATTTAAAAGCTCAGCAGCATACCATAGTCAATGTCCATTTCTGGCTCAATTTTAAACACAGTCCTAGGCGAGCCCCGGCAGGTGCGGGCCCCTGAGCGCACCTGCACCCGTCTGCCGCGGGCCGCTGGAAGAGAACACAGTCACATGAAGCAGAATCAGATCACATCCTAAGGCAAACTGTTTTAACATTTATTCCTTACAACTCACTATGATCTATTTTTAAGTTTTTGTATTTTAATTACTAGTATGTTAGATACTAGTACTTATTCCAATAGTGAGTAAATCTATTAAATTTGTGACTTTACTAGTATGTATTTCTTTGCTAATAGTCAATATCTCAAAAATAACTAGCTCTTACTAGTTACATATTGCAATTTTTGCCAATGAATTCTATGAAAATATGTGACTTAAATATTCAATATTTTACAATAAGGTCCCACACAACACATGAAATGAGCAATACATTTATTACAGTATGTATTAATCTTTGTTAACATTATTTAATAAAAATACAACTGTTCATTGTTAATTCATATTAGCTCAGGTTACATTTACAAATACAATTTTTGATTATAACAATGTACAGTATTAGTAAATGCTGCAATTTATATTAACTGAGATTGATAAATGCTTTAGAAGTATTTTCCATTGTTAGTTCATGTTAACTAATGGAACCTTATTGTAGTTACCAGATATTCAGATAACTATTCACTATCTACTAGTTTGTATTCCAATGGTTGCTGGTATTGATTCCAGTTTTTCAAGTACTAACTAACTGCATAGACACTAGTACCTACTCACTATTTCTTTTTATTAGACACTAGTACTGCACTAATTGTCCCAATTATAACTAGTAGTAACATGTTTAATTTGAACTATATAGCAGCTATTCTGACTAGTCATTGTTTATGACAAATAAAGTTATTGTAACCAGTGAGATAGAAAATGTTATCAGTAACAACTAGGATACACACTAGTGTCATAATACAGGTACTAGTATATCGAATAAATGACTACTTTTAAAACTAAAATAGATGGTATCTATTGGGGGAAAATCACTAGTTACAAAGAAATAGCAAAACTGTAACAAAAACTAGTCTAAACTGAATACTTGATACCTGAGTCACAGAGCTTCAAAGAATTGAATGGCAAAAAAAAAAAACGTTAGGCCTATTTGTTAACTAACAATTCAATTGATTTATTATTTACCATTCAAATGTAACCAGAACACGTACTAGTATCTAATAGTACAGTCACTTTTTTGGAATATTCAGTTTTTTAAATGACAAAAATAACAAGAATATTAATAAAACGGCTGACCATACACAGCCTTCTTTTAGATGCTCATGAACAAAATAAATGTCATTTAAAGTACCTCGATTAACCAGCGCATCCTTGTTTTCTTCAAACCTGTCATAAGACGGAGAAACAGGCTGGTTTATTTATTATGTCTCATCTTTCAGATTCCAGTGTCAAAGATTGGGGGGGAGGGGGGTATTTTGCCCAACTATATTATAGAGTGATTTATTTTGCACCAACTACTCGCTTAGAAACACAGCTACTTTCACTAATGCAAATGTAAACACTGCAGTCTGTCGGCATTACGCCTAAATGTGTGAAAGTGGCACAGAAATGCCATGCGTTATTATTAGGACCTGCACACGCGAGGCCTTGTTATTGTGCCCGAAAACATGTCATGTATATTACAGACTCAAAAGTTGCACGTACTCATCCGGCAGGTCGCAGTCGCCGCCGCACTCTTTGCCCGCATCCGATGAACCTGCGGCGGCTGCTGCGCTCTTCCTGCGCCGTGGGCATTTCGCTTTCCTCCGGCGATTCGCCGCAGCATCGCGTGTGGCTTCATCCCGGTCCTCCCCGATATCGCTCTGCCTCCACACAGGAATCGTTCTCGTTGACCTGTCACGTAAAACCCGCCCGGAACCTGCCACGCTCGTCGCAGCTCCGTTTGTTTCGGGTGGGCAAGTCACTTCGGTCTTCAAGCACCCGTCCCCGCGTCCTCTGGATGCCCTGCACGGGGTGGATGCGGTACTCTGCCCCGCGGATTTCTCCATGGCCGTCTCATTCTCCACCTCCTCTTTGTTATTCGAGAGCTGCGGCTCCATCACTGCTAAAGTTGTTTTCTCTTACTTCAGGACGCCTCAAGAATTCTCAACGAAATGAAACATAGCTTGAAATAAACAGGAGGCATAAAATATGAAAAATGTTGGGTTGCTTACGGCCCTGATCCGATTGTCAAACATATTTCAATGGACGCTCTTACTTCTTTTGGCAAATTTAGTGCGGATATGTAAGTCGTACAAATAGAAAACTTAGTCTATCATCTCTATAATAACTCCAAAATTCATTTTAAAGACCCAGGCCCTATTTTAAGTTCTTAAAGCTATAGTGAGCCACGCTGATAGCGAGGCCCACTACTGTCGCTCTTTGTTGCGTCTCCTTTAAGTCGAGATAAAGCCGAAGACGAGCTCGGCAGCGACACACAGCGCTACGGCTGTACGTGTGCCAGTTTTCACTGACCTACAAAAGCTCTTATGCGAAATACAAATAACCAGCGTCGTTCCAGATGTACTTTAAATTGAAGAATATGGCGTAGTAGGAGACTCACAGCATTTTAGGCGTTGCTGTCATTTTAGTTGAACATACACGTTTTTCCCCTTTATTGTAGAAAGATAGTAGTTAAATAATACCTAGAATGTTCAGAAAAAAAGTGTCGAAAAGTGTTTTATTTTTATTAATACTAACCGAATTCTGCTTTTTATTACATGAAAATAACAATAAAACTCGGAACTTTTACCATGCCTATCTTATTTATTTTTGATCATCATTTATTTTAGTTTTATCATTAATTTTCCCTGCTTTTTCGAATGTGTGTGTGTGTGTGTATATCTTTATTTATATATTTTCAGTTTTCATTTTAATTTTAGTTTTAAGTTTTTGTAATTTTGTTATGTGCTTTTGTCATTTTTGTTTGTTTAACATTTAATTATTGCAGGTTTGCATCATATTCTGAGTTGCATTATTTTTATTCATTTTGAGGAATACTGAATACTGAATGTTTTTTTGTGAGTGAGATGAATTAATGCATATTCATATTTATTTCAGAACTACAGTAACATCTGATTTCTCTCAACATGGGGACAGGACAGCTGTCAATCAATAAATTAGAAAAAAACGTATTTGAAAAAGTAACTCAGATATTCTCTTCTAAATTAAAAAGTAATGCGTTACTTTACTAGTTACTTGAAAAAAGTAATCTGATTACGCAACTCGCGTTACCCCCAACACTGTATATATATATTAATTTATATTTGTGTGAAACATTTTGTTAGGAAAAATACTCAGTACACCTTTATTACTGTAACTGTCAGCTAGGATTGAATACATTCCTAATCAGGCAACAACTGCTTTACTGATAAATCAACTGTATTATCATCATGCAGTGGCGTCTTGTCTCCTGTAGATGGTAGTCTACACCAGACAACCCTTCCGGTAAAGCGAGATCAGCAAGTTTTATAAGGAGTAAACGAAACTTTTGATAGGAAACAAAAACGAAACCCAGTTTACAGCTAGACGTGCATGATGTGCTCTTCATATAGAGGTGAGGTGTAACTTTTTTTTTTGCATCCATTAGAGAGAATGGTTTATATGAACTATTTACATTGAAAAGAAGAAATCTGATTAAAGTAGCTATTTAATGAAAAACAAACTACAGTCTTTTGAGTGATTTTAAAGAGACAGCAATCGTTTATTGACAGATAAAGCTTGATTGGAAGCAGTACCAGTTGCAAACAGAGTTGGTGTAATACAATGTTCATGGTCAATGAAATGGCCTTGTTCATGGGCCCAAGGCTATATGGAATATTTATTAAATAGAAGAACTGAAATATTCAAGTGATAACTTTTCTGTAGATTCTACTGAGGTAGTGGAAATTTGTAAGTTTTGTTTTTGTTTGATAAAACTTTGCTTGATAAAATTTTGCCTCATAAAAGGAGATTTCACAGTGGTATGTCTCCTCAATAATTTCCAGTTTCCTCTTCACTGCATCTGTGGTTTAATCAAAAGATAAATGACTTTCTTTATAGCTGCGCGGGGCATTTCTCCTGGACCATCAACAACGACCTCAAAGACTTGGGCTGCATTTTTCTCCTCAGAACTACTGATACATTGTATAATTGTCACTGCTATTGCAGTAGGGATTCAGGTATGCTTAAGTGTGTATTTTGTCACAAGCTGATGATCTTTTTAACAGTATAAGTGTCCAAATGTGATAACATTTGTAATATTATATAATTCATTTCTAGATCTTCAAGCAACAAAAACAGGATTTGGATGATATAGGTAAGTTATTTATTTATTATCTTTTTATATATAAATTCTACAACACAAAGATGGATGAATAGTGTTACAATGGTTTAATATAGGTATATTTCATTGTTCTTTTAAGTAGATGTTTGTAAACGTAATTATATTACCAAGAGTTTGAAAAAATTATCTCATTCATGTTAATGTTCAGTGCATCATCCAGACGATCCACTCCGGATTCTTTTGGTTGGAAAAACAGGGGTGGGAAAAAGTGCAACAGGCAACACAATCCTGGGACAAAAGGTTTTTAAATCAGAGATATCTTCCTCCTCTGTGACTGGACAATGTGAAAAATTTCATGCAATTATAAATGGCAGAAAAGTGTCCGTCATTGACTCTCCAGGTCTGTTTGACACCAGCCTAACTAAAGATGACGTGATCAACAGAATTAAACGCTGTATTCCTCTCTCTGCTCCTGGTCCACATGTCTTCTTAGTTGTGATTCAGCTGGGCAGATTTACAGATGAAGAGGCAGAAGCTGTTAGAATCATTCAAGCTGTTTTTGGTGAGGAATCTTCCATGTACACCATGGCACTTTTCACTCATGGAGATCGACTGGAGGGCAAAAACATTCACACATTTGTGCGGGACAACCCAAATCTGCTCAGTTTCATCAAAACATGCAATGGACGATACCACGTGTTCAACAATAAAGAACAAAATCCTGAAAAGGTCATTCAGTTGTTCGACCAGATTGATAAAATGGTCACTGGGAATGGTGGGCAACACTACACCAGTGAGATGCTTGAAAGGGTAGAAAGAGCAATTGAGAAAGAGAAACAACGTATCCTGCAGGAGACAGCAGAGCAGAGACGGAGGGAGATAGAAGCTCTGAGGGCTCAACTTGAGGATGAAGCCTATGAAAAAGCATTAAAAAAGTTAAACGAGAAATATGACCAGGTGGCAAGATACCAAGCTGAGATTGACCTTCCATTCTTAATCCAAGTGGTCAGTTCTTTGATTAAAGCATTAGGCAAATTCTTATTGTGACCTACGTGAAAACTGACCATGTGGCTAGGGAAAGAGGGTACTGAAAAATCTCATGATTTATAGATGATATTTTTGAAATTTACTTTACAAAGAGTTATTAATTAATAGTAACAAAGCACATTTACACTGCACATTCTGGTGAATGGGAAATCTGAAAGTTCAATCATTTGAAGGTATGGGTATATGAAGGTTGTAAGTAAAATGACTGAGAAATGTGTCTCTGAATTGCAAACTCCTATAAATGAAGGATTGCTTTCATTTATGTGTTCTATATAAGTTGTTCTTGAGATGTTTTGTGTGTATACAAAGTGAGATCCTTTAACCACTACATACCTTGTGATCTTATGTACTTGTTTTGGTTTACTGTATAAGCTAAATATAAAAAATATTATTTGACAAATAATTGCATATTTGAATATTTCTGAATGGAGAGAATGCTCATAATAACAAATAAATAAGATTACAAGAAGAAAACCTAAAGTTTGGAGAAGGAAACAAGTAAATAGAGAGATAGACTGTTTTTCCTTGTTTATGAAATCAAAATTTTCCCCATTCATTGGATCTGCAATTATAGCATACTCTCTGGTTTTAATTTACTCCTATATTTCTAAAAGAATTTTGATTATAATCTGCATCATAACATGGATGAAAACAGGCTTGCCAAGTGTGTGGTTGTTCCGTGTTTGAAATGAGGGCTGGGAAACCTAAAAGAGAGAAAAGGAAAACCAAACTTTTCACATAAGAGGGATCCAGACTCTCACGAGCTCCACATCAAAAGTGAGTTTTAACTTCTACTTTTGTATCTTGTAAAAAGAGAACTTGAAATTAACAATACCTACTGAATGGAAGCAGTATTCATAGAGAGTGTATTATGTAATCTTAGGTTTAGTGTAGCAATAGTTTGATAAATGAGATTTATGTTTTGAAATTATAGGCATCCTTTGCTATTTGGAGGCCATTTGCAGATTTGAATTCTGGATAGAAGTGGAAGAAATGTATGATTATGAGTCCAAAGATGGATTATGGTGTAATAATTTGGCCTCACGGGGCACCAGAAATTAAAAATTTGGCCACCAGCTGATGTAATAATTGGCTCACAGGTACCATTGTTGTAGTGGTTCTCACAGATTGCACCAAATTAATATTGCGAGTTTTGGTCACGTCACTTAATCTGAGTGTAAGAATGTCAGATGACTCTTTCCTCTTACTATTTAATGCTAATGTCTCAAGATGTTTGGTAAAGTGATTAAACACTCCGCCCGGTGAAGTGATGAGTCCGATGGTGGCAGCGTCTTCCACTGGGTGCTGGGCCACATTGCAGTGGGAAGGAAAACTTAGCTTCTGTTCAAACAAGTGTTGAACATGAAGTACTGTGGATTGCTGAACTCCTGGAGCACTGAGAAGGTCCTTTTTCTGGAACACACAGATCAAAGAGCCTTTGAAGGTGAATGTCCTGAAGTCTGTGCAGGAGGTCCTGAAAATGGGGAGGCCAACTAACTTGTCTGTTCTCCACAAGTGTGGAAAGGAGTTGCCACCATGTTTGACTGCTGTCCACTGGTTTTGTGAGGTACTGGGGCACCAGCCTTTTGTTGTAATTGTAAGATGCAAGGTCTAAATATAAGAAGTTGCATTTACACAAGTAAAACTTTGCAAACGAGACAACAACTTGCCATGCATACAACATCAAAGTAATCAGGCATTTAAGTCAGCTGGGCAGATTCACAGATGAAGAGGCAGAAGCAGTAAGAATAATCCAAACAGTTTTTGGTGAGGAATCCTCCAATTACATCATGACACTGTTCACTCGAGATCGACTGGAGGGCAAAAACATTCACACATTTGTACGGGACAACCCAAAACTGCTCAGATTCATCAAAACATGCAATGGATGTTACCATGTGTTCAGCAATAAAGAACAAAATCCTGAAAAGATCATTTAGACTCGACCAGCTTGATAAAATGGTCACTGGGAATGGTGGTCTTTTGGCTGGAATGGGCAGGAAAAAGTATAACAGGCAACATTATGCCTCCTGATATACATTCCTTTGCACATTTCTACTTCCTAATGCCACTTGCACAGCTATGGTCACTGGCCATACAGAAAAATACACTATTGATATACCTCACTCTGTATAATGCACTTTCTGTGTCATACTTGTTCATTTGCACCTTATGTTATATTTACAGTTATTTGCATTGAGCTGGTCACTGTTTTCTCTACCTCATTACTTGCACTCTGTACAATAATGTACACACACACACACACACACATATATATATTTATTTATATACATTGCTATTTGCACTTCTGGTTAGATTCTAACTCAATTTAATTGGCTCTGTACTTGTACTCTACACAATGACAGTAAAGTTGAATCTAATCTAATCTCACCATCCTGGAAACATATAATGCAACAGTTGATGGAAGAAAAGGATTAGTTATTGATTACCGCACGGGCCTACTGCGCATGTGCAGCCGAAATACCGCTCACCCTGAACTCCAATTTAAACCGAGGGGGACCACCCTCCGGAACACGATTTCAGGGGTCTTTTAAACCAGTCTGTACCCTGCAAGAGAATTAAGCAGTGCATTTTACTATCGGCTCCAGAAGCAGTTAGACTTTTTCAAAATATTTTTGGTTAGGAATCCTCCATATACACCATGGCACTGTTCACTCATGGAGATCATCTGGAGGACAAAAACATTTACACATTTGTGTGGGACAACCCAAACAGCTAAGTTTCATCAAAACTTGCAGTGGAAGATTCCATGTGTTCTATAATGAAGAACAAAATCCTGAACAGGTCATTCAGTTGTTTGGACAGATTGACAAAATAGTAACTGGGAATGGTGGTCAACACCACCAATGAGATGCTTGACATTCTAGAGAGAGCGATTGAGGCGGAAAAATTGCACATCCGGAAACAAACTCTACATTTGATGAAGAAGCTTCTGTAATAGCAAAAGAAAAACTCTACAATGAATATGAACAGCAGACACGATTGCAAGTTAACTTTTGCTGTCACATAGACAATACAGAATTTTTAACTAACTGGGCCAGATGATTAAGACTACATATCTGTCCTTTCACGGAGTTATCTGCCTATATCATGCTCACATGCACTCTCCGGTGTCTTTGACACTCTGACATCACATGCACTCTTTGCAGAGGAACCGGAAATGAGTTACAAAAAAATGTTGCATAGAGTTTTACCACGTGTCATTCTGTACATGTAAAATACAAATGACACACCTAACATACACACCCATAATTTGCATGTCTTCTCAATCATAGGCAATAGCTGTGTCCAAAATTGCTCACAGATTTACTACTGCTTACATAGCAAATGTTTTAAAATGCACTATATGGAGAAGGAGTGAACCAAAAAAAGTGACTGAATTCCATGTCAAGTCAGTGTAACTGAGAGAGCGTTTTGACATATTTGTACTTCACTTTAAATGTATCTTACTTTGTGGAGCAGAATAGGACGTTAATGTCTATTTTGTTCCATCAGTTATTGATAATCAGTCAGTGCTTGAGTCTTGTATAATAGGGTTGGTACATGCCATTATGTTTGTACAAAGTTTTAACTTTTGTACTTTTTTCTGGGTCATAACATAAACATAAACTATTATTGAATGCTTAATAGTGAGAAGCAAGACAGCACCTTCTCCTTTTCTGGCAGGATATGACTGACACTCGCTCTCTTCATAGACCTGCTCCTGTGGGTAATTTTTCTGTCGCCCCACAGCTGAATTTGAGACATGTGGACAGGCAGAGGGGACGTGAGCCATATATGTTTATAATAATAATAATAACTAAATATTATTATTATTATATAAAAAAAATAAAAAAATATATATATACACATATTTATTTATTTTGTGTGTGTGTGTGTGTGTGTGTGCGCGTGTGTGTGGCTCTGGGAGGGTGGTGCCCTAGAGACCTATATTAGCCAGCCACAACTTCCTCTGACACGTAGTCCGGAACAGAACAGACACAAAGAAATCCACAGTCTATTCATACCATTGTTTATAAATAATGAGACTAACGTTTTTATTTTATGATCTGTGGATTATTATGCATGCATCTCTTTCTAAAATCTGTTGGAAAGTCAGTCAAAATAGCATGAGTCCACTTTATGGCACATCACGAGTTGATGCATGACTGACGAGGAGAACCTATCCTAATGGTTAGAAGAATATTTCAAAGAACATTTCGGTAAGTAACAGACTGAAAAGTAAGTTAAACTTAAGTTTATAAGTTATATAATTCTCTATACTCCAGTTGTTAGGGCACATGAATTATAACACCGGATGCTGATACACAGTCTGACTGGTAATCAAACTTTTGAACTTGACATATGATGCAATAGATATGACATCGCAACTTGGTTCTAGCCAGGTTTTTTTTCCCCTCAGCAGGGAGGGTAGCCTTTCTCGACCGTGTTCAAGGTCAAATATGACATCTAGTATCTTGTGCAATGATCACTCAACTATTAGATAAAGTAGTTAAGAAATGTACTTAATGTCTTTCAGCCTCAAATAGCCACCTCGTGGTTTTATATCGTTCTCTTGTAGCCAGATATTTCTACTGCTTCTAACACAGCAACAGGTACATTAACACAGTCAGTGTTGCCAACTAATTGTCAGGGAAAGTTGCTAAAAGGAGGTTGACTTGTTGCTATAAAGTTGCTAAATGACATTGCGATGTCATTGCGTGAGTTCATCAAAAATGTTACAACCAGCCCCTTAACCAGTTCACATCCTCTGTTGGGGCAAAGTCATGTGAGCTTTTTTATTTCATCAAAGGACTCCAGTATAATAAAAGTTTGAGTGACCTAACACAAATATCCACAGAGTTACTAATGCTCAAACAAAAAGTGTTACTTTCATCCCCAGTCTCCCCTATTATAGTGCTCTCCCCCACTGCGCACTTGTAAAAGCTGAGAGAGATATCACCTGGGCTCTGAATGGCGTTGAGAGCACCTTGGATACGTAACCCTTTCTTGGTTTAAGTACAGCTTACAGTCATTAGTTCTGAAAACCGTACATGACTCGCTGACAGAGAGAGCGTTCATATTGTTACAACTGGCTCCCAATTACAACATGAACGAGAGCCAACACAGACAGGCAAGTAGCGAAGGAAGTAGTTTATTCAACAAAACATCATAATTAACAAAAATGTTCAAACAAGTGGGCTTGGGGGCATTCTGTTCGCCATGGGGCGCACCAGTTGCACCACCCTAAGGACGGCCCTGGGTCCAGCACTTACTGGGACATAACAATATCATCCACCCGCTTAGAACCAAGCATAAGCAATAGCGCTGTCTTAAGGGAGAGAGAAAAGAATTCTGATGGCTACAGACAGT